GACATGTCTCCAGGTACGGTAAGTACCCGGACATTTTACAAACACACAATGTCCCAGTACATACATGCTAACCATTTGAATGAAAAAAACAAAGATGGAGAAAATTCTCTATATGGATGGAGTTCTCATTCAATGTATCCCTAATAAATTGCTTTGTAAAGGACGATGTCAAAAGATCGATGTCGGATAAAAAACTTAATTCCTTTAGTTTTTTTCCAAAACCCCCACCTCCCACTGAAACTTAATTGATAAATATTGGTCATGGCGTCAGACTACATTCACCATTAAATACAAATTGATAATCGTACAGAAGTATTGCATAGCAGTTGGTTGTCGGGTGGGTGTAAAAAGAGTTTACAAATGCACCTCATTTGACGCACATATTTACACTCGAACCAAACCATTTTCTTGTCTTGGATGTGTTTTTTTCCTTTTCGGTTATTTCTGTCCGTGTTTGGATAAAAAAAAAAAACGAACTACAAATACTCCAAGATTTTTTTGACTTCATTAAAAAATAAAATCGTTTTTCATCCGACATCCATGCATCTTTTGACGTCGTCCCTAATTAATATTGCCACATACCTGAGAACCCAAAAATTGGGCAATGGTATGCAAAGTCTTATCTGTTATATTAACTTCAGCTAAATAAAGACTGTTTAAATTTGATTCATGGTTGACCAGTACAGGTGCAAGACCAGCGTCTGACAGAAAATTGACACCTGTATATTAAAACATTAATAAATAATTAATATTATTCAAAATAATAAGAACCAGTATTGTGTTGTTAGAGAATCTACAATGTAGGCAAACAAGAGTTAAAATACTATGAAATCAAAATCTCAAACCTTGATTGGTGATATGGATTATATTAGAACATTGTTACGCCCAGAAAATACAGACGTAGTAACTGTTATGCCAACATTCCTGTAAGCAGTAATTGCATCACACATTTGACCCATTATCATAAGGTAATTGCACTTCCTAAATCATAAACTTTACCCTCTGACCCATTATCATAAGGTAATTGCACTTCCTAAATCATAAACTTTACCCTCTGACCCATTATCATAAGATAATTGCACTTCCTAAATCATAAACTTTACCCTTTGGCCCATTATCATGAGATAATTGCACTTCCTAAATCACAAACTTGACCCTTTGACCCATTATCATGAAGTAATTTCACTTCCTAAATCATAAACTTTACCCTCTGACCCATTATCATGAGATAATTTCACTTCCTAAATCACAAACTTGACCCTTTGACCCATTATCATGAGGTAATTGCACTTCCTAAATCACAAACTTGACCCTCTGACCCATTATCATGAGATAATTTCACTTCTTAAATCACAAACTTGACCCTCTGACCCATTATCATGAGATAATTTCACTTCTTAAATCACAAACTTGACCCTCTGACCCATTATCATGAGGTAATTGCACTTCCTAAATCATAAACTTTACCCTTTGGCCCATTATCATGAGATAATTGCACTTCCTAAATCACAAACTTGACCTTTGACCCATTATCATGAGGTAATTTCACTTTTTAAATCACAAACTTGACCCTTTGACCCATTATCATGAGGTAATTTCACTTCTTAAATCAAAAACTTGACCCTTTGACCCATTATCATGAGGTAATTGCACTTCCTAAATCACAAACTTGACCCTCTGACCCATTATCATGAGGTAATTGCACTTCCTAAATCACAAACTTGACCCTTTGACCCATTACCATGAGGTAATTGCACTTCCAAAATCACAAACTTGACCCTTTGACTCATTATCATGAGGTAATTGCACTTCCAAAATCACAAACTTGACCCTTTGACCCATTATCATGAGGTAATTGCACTTCCTAAATCACAAACTTGACCCTCTGACCCATTATCATGAGGTAATTGCACTTCCTAAATCATAAACTTTACCCTTTGGCCCATTATCATGAGATAATTGCACTTCCTAAATCACAAACTTGACCCTTTGACCCATTA